AATGTTTTGCGCTACTGTTTTCCGATGTTTGCGTCAACGATTTTGAAAACGTGCGTTCAAGAAAAGGGACACGTACAATACAGGCTAACGCTGCGAGCATCAAAAGCGAATACAACTTAGAAAATACCCAAACAACCCAACAAAAACCTGCATAAAATCACGGAAGAAAATACACCCTACAAAGCACAGCAAAAATTAAGCGTACATCGTGTCCATTAATAGACGGCCCAAAAATAAGTCTGGAGTTGGTGCCAAGCACGGAGGCAGCCGATCACGGCGAGCGATACAAGGATCCCAGCCAATTACGAAGCTCGGAATACAAGTGAAAAATGCGAACGCGTGCATGAGCAAATGAAACGTTAACCCATTGTCCCGGCGCACAATGCTTTTTTTTTTTTTTTTTTTATTGTCTAACCGTGATTTTAGCTTTCTGATTCGCTGGAATCTTTCTATTGCTTGTCGTGATTGGCTGTCACCGTGTTATAATTAAAAAGATAAACTCTCAGATTAGTTTTTTTTTTTTTTTTTATAATGCATGTAATCCATCCCTGCCCACGTATTCCGTGCGTTAGCGTCCTGTATATACCACGTCACAGCTCAGAGGCTGGTTGCAATTTCCCTTCTTCTTAGCAAGGTATAAATAAGTTCATTACGGCTGCCACAGCGCTTTGGTTTCATTAACCTCATCGGTGTCCGCCTCAAAATCCTGACGCCGTGAGTCTGCCTCGTAACCCAGGTTGCCAAACGCTTCCATCATTCAGAGAAAGTTAATCAGGCCAAACACTCCTGATTCGCTTTTGTCTTCGTTTTCTTTCAGCTGGATGCGCGAGGGATCACTCGAATAAGCTACAGAAAAACAATGCATAAAAGGGAAAAGCCAATCTGCGAAAGTACCCCAAAAAACTACCTAAATTCATTCCTAAAAAAAAAAAAAAAAAAAAAAAAAAAAAAACGCAGCTGGCTTTTTGCGTGGCGTGCGGGGACGATACTTCAACGATTAAAAAAAATGTTAATGCCGTTTTAAGCCGATCTGCATTTCCCTTTACTAATTAAATTTCGTTTTTCAATGCCAAGGGGTTCAACGTAAACCGCTGTCTTAAAGGGATTTTCCGGTAGAATTTCGTCCTTCAGAAAACAATTAAATTATATTGTTATTCTTTTTACCAATACGATCCGCACAATATCCGAACCTTTAATCCTCCGCTGCACAATTCAATTGTAAGCAGAGTCCAACTGCTCGGATTGCAACTGCAAACAGAGAGCGTTTTCGCTGGCAAGAGCGGAAGCTTCGACGTAACGGCGGGCAAAGGGAGCCATCCTAGTTTTTGACCACTGTAAAATGAACACAAGATTTATGCTATTGATTATTCGACGATGATCCTTGTACGCAACATCAACCATGTTGATCAAAACCGGGAATTAAGCGATGCCCGCGACTCTGACGTTACCATGTCTGATGTGACGTCACGAGACGACCAGCCTCGCATACACGCGAAATTTGGCGCGAAGTTTCGTATCGATGTTCATAATTGATTTAACGACTATTAAGGCGTCTTTTAATCAACTAAATATCGCATACTGCTATATTTTGGCCATCTCTACGTGACCAGCGCAAAAACTTAGTAACTTCGGTCATTGTATTCACCTCTTTTTAAACCAATATAGGCTTTTCAATTTTTGCGCGCAGAAATCGCACATCGTTCGAAAGCACTATCGTTCGAAAGCATATTGCAATTTATGAGCAGTAAATGTCTTCGTCCGATTCGGCCATCCCAGCGCTCAAATGGGTGAATTTTCCGCGCGGCCTATATGCCCCCAGGCCCACTCTAAAAACGTCCGTGCATCTACTTTCACGCACGACACTCGGAGAACTAATCAGCGCAACTTACGGAGGAAGCCTTACGGAGGCAGCTCAGCGAATGACGACGCCGAAACATCAGTTTAGAACAAAAAACGCAGACTGAGTTGTGACATTAAGCAATGCAAAACGTCAAGCTTGCATTGCTTATAATGTCACAACTCAGTCTGCGTTTTTTGTTCTAAACAGATGTTTCGACATCGTCATTCGCTGAGCTGCCTCCGTAAGTTGCGCTGATTGGCTCTCCGAGTGTTGTGCGTGAAAGCAGACGCACAGACTTTTTTTTAGAGTGAAAACACAGTATACGTTAACTAGGGGGGTGTGGTCCGCATTCTCCGTTCCGCGTTAAGTACGACCGCAGCCGACGAACCGACGGAGCCAATCCGTCGGTTCGTCGATCCGACAGAGCCGAAAGTGCATCGTCAAGGCGCTTGTAATCTTTATGCGCTCCGACTAAACCAATCAAAGAAAAGCGGAGGATCGCGGCGCATTCATTGTGCGGCATTGGTTTAATCGGTGAAAGCATACCCACAAAGACTGTATACGAGCGCCGTAACGACTGGCACACTCTTGGCGGGGGTTGATTGGCTCCATCACTATAGCGTCGGCTGCGGTAGCACTTAGAACTGAGACAGAGTATAATGCCCCAGTCACACGATCGTAGAAGTACATTTAGCTAAGGGACTCGGTTCAATCGCCACCCCTGCCCGTTTCGATCTTGGTGAGCATCGTACCGGCGTGCGGTCGTGTATCACTACTGCGTGATGCCAGACCCAAGGCTAGCGGTTGTACTGCACTGGTTAAAGTTCTCATCTACTGCTGAGAGACAAGTCGCCCGCCGAGGCAGACCAAGTTCTAGGCTGGATAAAGATACACGGGACCCATTTTTTTTTTAATTTTTTCTAAGGGATTTTTATTTTTTGTGGCCAATCAATTTACGATTCTTCGGGCGCCGCGTGTGCTCGCGACCTGAGAGCGCGGGCCGATTCGCCGATTGCAAAGGGACCTATATGTTAAAGGTAGCACATTTACGAAGGCCGCGTTAATGTAATCACAGACTAATACTCAATTCACACGGCAGCGCAAAGGTACCTTTAGCTTAGGTCCCTTAGCTGACGGTACCTGTAGTAAACGGCGTCCTTGATCACACGATAAATAAACGGAGCACTTTAAGCTGATGTTGACTGTATTCCTGCTAAACCGCGAGAGGAGCGCGTGATAAACAATTATTCCTCGAAATCGGTTTGACGCGCAGTTTTTGATTATTGTGTGAGATCACATTTAAACCTAAACATTATTTGTGTTTGCTTTTGTGGCATTTTATTTTTTTTTTCTCTAAGTCTAAGGGCGCACCTAAATGAGTGTTTCTTTAAAAAGTCTGACCCGTCTCGCCACACTGGCTCTAAATAATCTGCGTTTACGAGTTTTCGTTGCGAGGTGGGCGAACTTTTTCTGCTCCATTTTTCCGCAGTTCTCACCAAAGTAGTTAAATAGTGCCCGGCAGAAACGAACCACGTCGGAGTCTCACGCTCACACCAGTCACGCCATCGAAAGGGATGGACGACGACGAGGATAAAAGGTCCTGGGCGGGAGAGTCGGACGACTCGCCTACAACCTCGAAAAAGAGCTCGCACTGGTCCATCGCGTTCGGGTTCGTAGCAGACATTGTTTTACACGTGACGGCGCTGCTACCTGCTAGCTGGAGTATGCGTTCCTCGTTAATGTATTCTCCATCATATTTGTGTTCAGAATCATTTCATAATTTGCTACTTATATATATTTAAATTGTTATCATGCATTAAACAAGACATATTTATATATCTATAATTTTATTTTGAGTTCGTGGGTCCGAGGCTACTCCCTGTAGCTGTAAAAGGAGCTTGGCGAGCTCCGTTTAACACAGGACCTCCTTTAGTGAAAGGGACCTTTATGCGCCGTGTGATTACGATCTCCAGCTCTCTTTACCATACAGGTACCTGTGCCAAAGGTACCTTTACGCTGCCGTGTGAATTGGGTATAAGTTCACGAGGAAAACGCGCAAAAAATTGTGCTTTTATTTATTTATTTATTTTTTGTGCGAGTCCTGGCGCAATCTGTCTTTGTTATACAAAAAAAAAAAAGAAAAAAAGACTGGGATTTTGTAGCGGGTTGTTGAGAACGTTGCGGGACATCGTAAACCATCTCCGAAAGCTCCCTATTGCGAGCGAGCGCGCTCCGTCAACACCACCTGGATAGTCAGTGTGTGCACTAGAGGAGGAGGAGCCAACTTAATTATAAATAAAAGGCCCCAAGTACAGGGCCGGGAGTGCGCTAGAGTATTGACGTCATATCAAATTGAGATCGAGCGAAGACGCATATTGCACACGAACGCTGCGTCAGTGTTCGGCGGGGTCTGGCGTCCAGTCAACGCTTGGAAGAACGCTCGGCGTCTGGTCCGGGTTCGAATGCCGAGTTGGCGCCATCCGACTGTCATGACGTTTCATGGAGAAAGAGGAGCATTGTTCGCAGGCCTTGATGTAGGTGGTGTTGGCTCGGTCCGTAAACAGATGCCTCACAAAACAACGGGTGACAAAAGATTTCGTTGTGTTGCTACGTCAAACGTACTTGGTTTAGCGCTAGTAACCTACAGGCATTTTCTTCTCGAGCCGTGCCTCCAGGCCTCTCCACTCCTCTCCGACCCATTGACTTTCCCCGTCGGGAAGGCTTGTGTTTACGGAGTATGGGGAATGACGGTCTGCGGCCGGTCACGTCTCAGTTTTTCCGCTGAATTTAGCGGGTAAACTGAATTAATGTGTACGTCCCGTGACGTAAATTTTCCCGCTATAAATGGGAGTATAGATGAAGTGACGTCAAGTAACGTGACGTCAAATTTTTAGCTAAATTTAGCGGGGAAACTGAATTTCTGTATAAGTCACGTTACAGGAAGTCACGTGACACCATTTTCCCGCTAAATTTAGCGGAGAAGCTGAATTGGTGTTGAGGTCACGTTACGTCGATTTTCCCCCTAAATTTAGCGGGGAAATTGAAGCCATGTGACGTCAGAGGCCACGGCTTCACGAAATCTAAACAACTAATCAAAAAATGTTTCACGTAAAAAAAAAAGAAAAGGTGAAAGTGAAGGCGAAATAAAGTGTATACGTACAAGATTGAGGGCTTTCTCGGAGTCCATACTGTCTTCATCCTGACCCAGGTCACCCGTGTCTTGACTAGTTGCACTGTCTTGTGTGTCGTTCGAGAGGTCACCGTTCATCCCTGGATCTGCAAAGAGCACAACGAACGCAGCCTTGAGATACGAGTCCGCGGGCACTGTAAAATTCGAGCGCATCCATCGAAACAAACATTCCAAGGTTACCCGATCTGGCAGGAGAGAACCACCGAGCCAACTTTTGGCCCGGCTCCCTCCATCTTGGGGTCTCACCGGCGCTGTCCCAAAACTCCAACCCTTCCTCCCCTCGTCTCCCAACCCTTTCGGGAGAGGCGAGGAGGCCGCTCATCGGACGCGGAATGCGTGATCTCCGAACGACGTCACCAGGACAGCCACGCCTTGCACGTTAACACATCCCACCTCGGAGAACGCCCCCGGGTAAACCAGCGGGCATCGTGTAATACGCGTTTACGCGAGTGTGATACGCGTTTGCGCGACTCACCGAACACTTATATTTTTCCTAGTTCCCCGCGTCTCTCAGGCACAAACTCGAGTTGCCGCAGCTGCAGGGCCCCGTTCGGAAACAATCGAGCCACCGCGCATCTACATACCGTGTCACACATGCGCGAAAAGAAGAGATAAAAAATACACGAACGGGCCTCTACACCGCTTTGGTAGAGGCTTCATTAAAATTGTCGTAAACAGGATTGAAACAAGTGGCGTGCGAGCGGCCCTGCACTAACGATGCGGATGCAGCGGGGGCCTGACAGGGCGCGGAACGATGCAAATGTAAAAGAGCACTGAGCCGCTTTGCAACAAATGCAAGCTGCTAATTGGCGCCCGCGGATGTCGTCGGAAGGCGGCGGCGGCGCGCTCTGGATCACTCCCACCGCGCGTGGCGGGAGGCGCTGGGGGGCCCAACCTCGTCTTACGAAACGCTCGCTGAAGGGAACGAACTCGCAACAGCGAGAGCGCACCGAGACTATTTGTATTCCTATAAGATGTCGTAAAATTCCACGTGTGACAATAAAAGAGAAAAAAGAAAGCTGCCATCGGTTTGTGTTTAAGTTTCGTTACGTTATGGTGTTACGGTGACGCGTTTGGGAGCGTCAAGATTCCCGATAAGTAAATCCGGTGCACGAAGATTGAGCGCAGAAAGACGCCGTACGCCGATGTAAGTGGAACCGGTAGGGGGCGTCACTGTCGCTTTGTACGTAATTTGCCGACACCGGGCCAATACTGCTTATACTCGCATTTATTTCAAAAAGCAGAAGAAAAAAACACACAAAAAAAACAGGCTTCTCGCAGGACCTTACTGTCATGTGTTGAATCAAGATATATGCAGGCGCAACTTACACTGCGCCACCGCTGCCGGCATGCATCGTGGGAACTGCCATAGCTCCTTATATACTGACAAAGCCTGACAAATCGCCACGAGAAGCGGCCGCCGAAATGGAAAAGGTGGAGCGACAGACAATGGATGAGAGGAGAGCCACGTGACTGGCGTCCCGCTGCGGCGAGACGCCAAAACACACTTCTCCCGAGCGAACAAGTGTATTTCGAGTCCTCGCCGCTGCAAAAGCTGTGCGCTGACGTCCAGGTTCCCCGAGAAACGGCTCTTTGATGCTCTGTGCTATCAGGTCTTCGCTGTAGAACCGTAATCTTTCTGCCTGCGCGACAGCCCCGCTGCGGGTCTGCGCAGGCAGAGCACGAGACGACACGTCTCCTGCACTGGCACCTGCTTCCAGAGAACTGTAGTCATGGCGGCGTCACGCATGCGTGGAACGCTTAGTGAGATTCGTCTATTGGGAACTAACTCGGGACTCCTAAAAGCAATTCAGTGAGTCACCAAACCAAATAAAGAAGGTCCTAAAACAAAATCAACGAATTAAGCGAATTAGCATTTGGTAAGTAGCTGTCTGCAAGTTCCTGAATCAAAATAGCCAGCCGCTTAATCGAAAATCAATAAATATTGTGGAAACAGCTTTCCGTGGGACCGCAGTGTACAGTCGGAAGCGCTACGAATGGCGTCAGCGTAAACAAAAGGAACCACGCTGTGCGTTGCGAAAGTAGAGTGAGGGAGGAGTGTGCAAACTCTAAGGTTGGACAACACCTCGACGACGGCTCAGTGGACGGACGGGAAACAGCATTCCGTTCGAACTCAATTATGCCGCGAAACATAAACTCGCTCATGATGCTCAACTTTGTGCAAGTACGCATGTGCCGAATAAAGGGCCTCTCTACGTTGTCTCTTTCGTCACTTCTCCCTGCAGCACCCAAGACACAACGGCAGATGAAGAGCTAACACTAGCTGTTTGTGAATCAAATCGAGGAGGTGACGTTTAGCTCGTCCTGTTTGGTAAATCGGTTGGTAAAGTCAATATGCGCTTACAATCAGTGTTGTATGGAACGGCGTTCCAAGGAACGGCGTTCCTGGAACGCGTTCCTTTCCGGAGGAACGAAGGAACGCCGCCGTTCTGTTTCGCATCGGTGGAACTGGAACGGGAACGCGTTACATTTTTACTGGAACGGAAAATGGAACGGCGTTCCTTTTTTATTTCAGTGGGGTAATATTTAATATTTTTCAAGGGAAAAATTGCAAAAAGTATAAAAACAATATCTTTACGAAGAGCAGGATCTTGGTAACTTTTTGGTTGCTTATGTAAGAGTTCATTTTGTGTGGTCCTCGCTTGGTAACAGTCGGGTGCAGGAAAACTAGTGGACATCGATACGTTTTTCAGTGCCCTAGATACGGTACAAAAAGCAAAACTTTGAGTCGAAGGAAAAGACACTGAAAGAGGGACGTTTCAAACTGAGCTACTTTCTTTGCTTCCGTGAATCCTCATACACCCAGAAATCTAAGGCCGACTACAGCCATCACTGAACTTCCACAAAGATACCTAAACTTACAACAAAATAACAGGCTACCAGACATCAAACGCACCCTTGTATCCCGAATATTGGTCACTTAAAAGATACACAAAACTTAACCTTCATTCCTTCTCCCCTTGTCCCCACCTTCAAACTGAACAAGAAATCCAACCTTCACGAAGAAGGACTTGTAGGTTTCAAGACTGACCTTCCAAAAGCCATACCCTTTTCTTCACTTGCTCGTCTTGCGGACAGCAACAATGAGAATAAACTGTGGTTAAGTTCGAACAAGGGACTTTCGTAGATTGAAACGTGTGAGGTTGTTGCAAAACGCTTGTGCGATGTGGGGTAACAGTACATTTGGCTCGTCTGAACCGCCTACCACAAACATGAATATGGTAAAAAGCTAAGATTTCTGAACGTGAATACATCAACAAATAAAACCCTGCTTCCGCTTTTTTTGTTTTTTTCTCCTGGTGCACTTATATCACGGCATTCAAATTCGTATGCTCCCATTTGATGGGATAGATAAAAAGCAGGAAAACTTTCCTCGATATAACTAAATATGGTAATCAGCCAGATACAAATGTAACCGTGAATGTAACGATACGTTCCATTTTTTAACTTTAACGGGAACGCGTTGCAAAAATTTGAAGGAACGAGGAAAGAGCTTTCGTTCTTTTTTTTTTTTTGAGGAACGTGTACAACACTGCATACAATGCTTCCTTGAACCTTTTTATTCAATGTCATTAGAAAAAGAACAAAAAAAATTACCTTCCTCCTTTTTTTTTTCCTTTTAAAGCTTTATGCAATTTCAAGGTCGTCCATGGTTTCAATAACTTCGTTCGAAACTCCGTAAATGATTAAACAAAAATATACTCTTAATATTTCTTTTTCTGCTCTGTCCCGCGCTAGCTGACCACTGAAAATTCCTCCGAAAAAAGAAAATGCAATGGAGTCGCGCTTCTTGCATTTTTAATAGTGTATGACCGGAACCTCCCGTTTAGTATGTATTTACGACGTTCTACTTGATACTTAAACGAAGGCATACACCAGTGTTCGGGGTTTCCACGAAAGCTTCTTTATCGCGAAATGGCAAAGAACTCCTCATGTGTGCATTCCGATCGATGCGTGGTTGTACTCTGACTCACCTTACGATGAACCGCAGGGGAAGTTTCGAGCCATCGAAGCCAGGTTCAATGACGTGAGAGTGCAACTTGACCTTAGGGAGGGGAAGGGCGTCACTGCGCCCTTCCCCGCACGAGGTCACGTGATGCGCTCACAGTGCTGGATTGGCTCAGATGGCTCGTAGAGTCACCTGCGGTTCATCCTAAGCTGAAAAACTAAGTATACGTAGAGCGGAGACTGAGAAAATAAATTAAGGTTCTGGAGGATTCGGCAGTCTTAAAAGCCGGGCTAAGCGCGCGGAGATTGGGACAAATGAAATACCGAGGAAACTCCAAAAGAGAGAGAAAGATGCTACCGCTTACTTCTTGATTCTTGCGATCTTATCGGTCGTAGCACATTATCAAATGTGAAAACAGCGCAAAAAATTGAACAAAGGACAAGTGAAAAAAGTGCACGGACAAAGCGATGACTGTCAACTAAAGTTTAATTTTATAAAAATAAGTTAAACTTTAGTTGACAGTCAGCGCTTTGTCCGTGCACTTCTTTCACTTGTCCTTTGTTCAATTTTTTGCACTGTTTTCACGTTTGACGATGTTAAACCAACTAGCCCAACTTACTGCCTCGTACCACATTAGTTGTATCTCCCACCGGCAAATAACTTCCGAAAACTAAAGTAACTAAATGTCGGTGTCTTTCCGATTGCGCGTAGGACATTTTTTGGCCAGGGTATCAGTCCCGAACGAACGAAACACGAACGACGGAGCACAGCCTCCCGCCCTGGTCGCGCCACTCAACGGTCGTCTGCGGAAGCTTTCGCGCAGACTGTGATACGCTTCGAGAGTATAGGGACGGTGCAAAGTGACCGGCCATTTCGATAAATAAAATTCGCGCCTCTTTCATCGGATCTGGCGCGAACCGCGAAGTTGGCGATGAGCCATGCGCCTTCCGAATGCCGGTGATGGCAAGTCGAGATCGGTCTCAGATTGATATTACAGTCACACTACAATTTACGCAAAAGTGTGCGACTTATAAAAGGTCATTTTTGTGTGTCATCACGGGCCATTCGAAATGACCGGGCCGCATTGTCAACATGGCGAAGGCTCGGTGACTAGCG